AAAAAATCTTACAATACTCTCGTGTTCTCGCAATGAAGTAGAACAAAATAGTAGGATGTATTAAAATAATTTTATTTGAGTCATTCTTATTTTCACTGCCACTTTCTTACTGAAGGGAAAGATGGCAGAGTTTTAAAGTAATGTCTAACACCCGATCAGTCTGTCATTTTGATATTAATGAAGGGTAAGGGGACTGAAATAATTGAGCACCTAATTGAATCCTATTTAGACATACTAATTTCATTTCACAGATGAATGAATGGTGGTTTAGGCAGGTTATGGAACCTGCCACGAATCACACAGCTGCAAGCAGCGGAGTTAGCATCTGAATTTAGTTTACACTTAAACATTTTCTATGACATTGCCCTGTCACTCTTTTTAAAATGAGGTAAGTTAGACCACAATTTGTGGGTGTCCTATGGAAACTGCATTGCTTTGTTTCTACTACAAATGATCTGACCCACCCTTCAGCAAAGATTTTTAAGTCATTAGCTAGCACACTCTCCTGAGATCCCTTTGAGTTTTATAAGAGATCAGCTATTATAGAGAGGTTCAAACTCCTTCACCCTAGCTAGCAAGATTATGAAATCTATAGGAAACAGAGAGACCAAGGGAAAAAACAATGGAGCATCAGAGGAGGTGTGTGCATCCGTCCTACGTATGGTCATATATCATGCTATGGTTACAAAACAAACGCTCTCAGATATTCTCAGTAGCTGAGCTCAGTCTCCAGTTAGGGTCTGCTGCATTCATTGTTTTGGATGAGCTCAGTTCTTTGTAAAAGAATCTGAACCTAATACATTTTTAGATGGCTTCTGTCTTAGAGGATCCAGGAAGGTATACAAAGACAATATATGAAAACCGTCATTTTATTATTAAAAAAAATCCATTATCTCAGGTCTGAGTGCCCAGGTTCTAGTGTTCCTGCATAGTATGTGCTCGGGGTAGAAGTTCCACTTGCAGAGGCTCCAGTTGTTTTATAGCACGGTTTACATCCTATGCACATTTTGAACCATGCATCCTTATGTTCACAGGACCCTTAATGTTGCCAGCATATTTCATTGGCTGAAGTCCACAGACAGCACCTGAGGCATCTGTGATTTATTAGGCTCCATTGTGCCATCTGGAAAATGTTTCCTTTATTTCATGGGACCAGAAGCATCTGCCTCTGGAACCTCCCTCATTCCTCAAAGCCTCCTGAGGACACAAGAACTGTGTTTTGTAATTTGGCAGTTCTTTGTTAGACCTCTGACCCCCGGTCTTTGGAAAATCTCCACCAGCTAGTGGAAAATTATAGCAAAGTTCTTCTGTAATGTAACAGAAAATTACCACTAAATACATATATTTGGAATAAATAAATTTAAAGGCTACATTTTTGCTACTACCCAGAATTTCTTACAAGCTATACTACTTCTTTCTCTGACCTAAGACAATGACTTTTCCTTATGACTCTCAGTCAACATTTAGTCCTTCATGAAGTAATTTAAGGGCTGCGCTATGTGCTAATCCCTTCCTTAGTGCACAGATGTGATGCCAATGTATTTCCTGTTTACCCCACACCCACTACCTGATGCATGGCCAGGCCCCTTCACACCTACAGTGACCGATTAAAAGAGAAATGACTGGTTTTATCTGAAGAATGGGAAGGGAACGAAAGGCCTCACAGGTTAAATGGTTTTTGAAGGAAGTCATAAGAGAAGTGGAAAAGGAATCACTCAAAGCAGAAAAGTAGCGTGAGCAAAGAAGTGGGGGTGTGATACAGCTGGGGCATCCTGGGAGCTTGCGAATAGTTGGGAATAGCATATGAACACCTGGAAAAGGGAGTGAGATTACTAGAGTTGTGTATTTTTGACAGGTTGTGATGGCTGATGGGTAAAGATGTGGCAAGCACAGATTAACTGGAAGTGGTTTCTGACAGTTCCTCTAACAAGAATCTCATAAGATTTTATCAGACAAAATGCCACTAGGCCAGAAAGAGATTTAAGTGGTTTATTAACCATATGTTCCAAAGAGTATTGTTTAATAGAAATAAGTTAGGTGGGGGTTTCGTATCTTGTAAATGCAACATAACTCTGTTCTTAGCCCAGACAGTCATCAGTTTGTCAGTAACACATCACCGTAGGATGGGAAACAGGGTTTTTACAGGCCAGTTCCATGTTTCTAATCCTCCAAGGCAGAATTTAATAAAGACGAAATGGAAG